TTCTGGATGGATTCAAATGTAAGCAAAACGCTTTTTAAGACCGGGCTATTAAAGAACCAATCATAATTTTGCTGAACCGTCTGAATAAAGCCGCCATTTCAAGAGGTCGAAAATTTTAAATTGAAAACACAGCGTGGTGGAAAAGATGTTAAAATCCAACGTCCAGATTGCCATGGGCAACATTTTTCAAGTAGTTCTACAATCATTTCCATATTATACAACACATGGCGCTGAAAGCTTTTCAGCGTTATCCGAGCTGAGTTTCACACAGAACTCCATTTCATCAACTGATAATTATACGGCACTCCACCGATATGTATCGCTTTGCTTCACTTTGCTTTGCTATATTTAGCTTGCTGAAGAAGTACAAACGATGATGTTAACTTTGAAGTCTTATGGACGGCCGATTACTCAGTTTAAACTGACCACGAACTGGCGCTAACATCTAGCCTGCACCAGACGACAATGCCTATTAGTAGTGTATAGAGCGCTTAGCCTGCCTATTTTGAGTGTCTATAAAAAAACATGGAATGACATCACCTGCTCTGCAAATGGCTGTCATGAAGAGCCGTAAGGGAACTAAAAATCTGGTTGTATCAATAACTTGAAGCAACCATGGAAATACCACTTTTTGATTGCGTGCTTTTTATGACATGTGGGCCAATGAACACAGTTCAATCGGTTCAGGATCACAGGATATATATATATATATCAAACTATTCATAATATATACCGGATAGCTTAGGATTTATGCAACTTGCCAGCTACGGTAATAACACTGTGTGATCATCATGCCGTGAAATGTTGGAGGTTGGGGAAACGCGATCAGGTTTATCTCCTCGTTCGCTCGTAGATTGCTATCACTGATGAATTTATCCCCTGGCCCTCGAGTACCTAAGAAGTACGAGAGAGGGCATTTCTGAACCGGCAACCCGCTGTTTGAGATCTCAGCGGCTAAATAGACATCAGTTGGAGCTTAGATGACTGCATTGTGGGTGTTGTCTGTATGCCCGAACCTGCGATTTCCGGATCCGCTTTGAGGTTTCTCAGAGTTCCAGGAATGTGGTGTAACAACTGACTTTAACGCAACGAACCAAACGAGAACACATGACTCCATTAGATGTAATTGGCCTGGCTAAGTGAGTCAACAGAGGCTTCGTCGCCTTTGCAACTATGTTGCCGATTCCTGCAGGACAGCCCTTTAGAGTCAATAGTTTGATTTTATTGCTATCACTGCCTTTGCAATAATACTGAAAGGAAATCTTAGTAAGTCACCATTTTTGAGGACAAAACCCAACTACGGTTTTGTGTTGGGGAATGGAGTGCCATTGGTACCCCAAAATGCAGACAGCTGTCTGAATTTTACTTGTCACAAAGCTTTGGTGACGATAGCCATCATATCACGCTTTCCGGATTTAGCCGTTTTGTTATCCATTTCAAGCGTTCGGAAACGTAGTGCTGAACTCTTTTCACCTTCAAAACCTATGAGCTGGCTGTCACTACCAAGCCTTGTAGGATAGAAGTAAGTGGTACTATTCAGCTACAGTTTCTGGTTGCTGGATCCACCAATATCCTCCGATTGATACTACCAGCACCTGAGAAATGGAAATAAATCTGCAAAGTCCTCGAGTAGATAGCAAAAACCTGGATTATTTGAGAGGCAAAAAATGGGCGATCTACGACGGTTTCCCGCTGTAATACCGTAGTTGGCCTCTTTTCCATGGAAAAGCCCGCTCTAAACAGAACTTTGTCAAAACTCACTCATTGTTGGATTACAGCAGGATGATGTAGTATGTGCCTGATGCAACAAGGTCCAGAGGAGAAATTTAGAGCGGAAACTTACTGAGTTGTTTCTTCTTGGAACTTTAACGTTAGAGGGTACAGGCTTATCCCGTGCATGAGTTTTTACCTCCGAATATTGAATACCCCTATCAAGAAGGCACCCTATTGTTAGTATTGCATATACAACACGATCGAATTTTGTATCCGACCCCATTTCGTTTGTGGTGTCCAAGCCACTGGACACAATTCCAGGCACACATTTTTGAACTAGAGCTTACGGTTTACAGCACTTGCAAAGTAAGAAATTTCACTCTGTCCCTGAATCAACAGTGTTATCTTTAATCAAACGGTTTTCGGTTTCTGATGTGCAAGCGAAAGCTTCAAAGATGTCCCCACATGCTTCTCACTGTTAAAGTTACTCTGTCTTTAGTGTAAAAATCCAGGCGATCCTGACGCCGAACTTGGTTACTACATATTCCAATAACCTAGGAAACAAACTGTTGACTATGGTAATTTATTTTACAGAATCATGGTTAGCATTCGTCGCTGCCCGATAAGTGAAAACAACGATGCAAGCAACAAGATAGATGTCAGGGTTTGCCACGCCGTTCAGAGACATTTTTGGATTTCGAGAGGATTGATGCTTGTTACTCCGACCCTTCTTTTACAGGTTCAAAAAACCTTGACGAACATGCACAGACAGTCGCCACGTTTCACGAACCTTATGGCGGTCAGGTTCACTTCACACCTCTATCCACAGGAGAACTTAGGGTCACTGGATCGGTGTCCGGTCTCCCACCGAACAAGACACTTGGAATTCACATACATGAGACCGGAGACATTGGTAATCACTGCAAAAATGTTGGCGGACACTGGAACCCATTTAACAAGTATGCAACTGCGTGTTCAGTAAAAATCTTGTCTGCTTTTCAAAGTGCTGATAACAGTGCGTTTGTTCTGGTGGGGGTATTTAATTGATGCGGTGGCAATTTGATGACAGAAAGTAACAAGGAAAAGTTTCTGAGAGTGGTAATTCCGATAGTACCGCCTCAGTTCTACATGATCGCTACAAAGACGTCTATCTACTTTGCTCCCTGGGGAAGTCCGCCTTAAACATGGGCGATATTTTGCACGCCTTAAAACTGTCTTGAAGGAAAGTGCACTCGACTCTTTGATGGCACAGGTTGCCTACTTAACATGAAGGAAGTAACAAAGATCAGTCATGATACCAAGACAGTTTGACTGCCACTCAAACTTAGGTAACAAACTTTCAGTACCGCCTGAAACAAATGCATAATAGCAGGAATCTGTGATGCAATAACCACGACTTGATAGTGCAGTTTTGTTAGGTTATTAAAAGCGAAAATTTCGTATCTGAAATAGCAACCGAAGAACAGGCCTTACATCATGGATATGGAACTTGAGAAAGTTTGAGGATTAGACCCTTTTGCGCAGTTACAAACGACTTAGCATTGAAAACCCACAGTAGTTATTTTCAGTAGAATATTCTCTTGGAAAACCGTCCCTTGGCTGACCACGCATGTGAAGACATGAGTTCATCGTTAATATTTGAACTAGTGATTTTGTCACGGAAAAATTTTCCGGCCTCAGGGATGCTTTCGCTCACTTGTTGTTTTCGTTGAAAGTGACAATCAAGCCGCCCTAATGTTGACAGCTCTTATTTCAGGTAGAGCGAATTATGCTTTATTTATCGTTTAATCTCATTCTATTGGCCAGTACACTTAGTTACATGGTTGAACACTGATCACCCTACTCAAATTCTTGCGCGGTTGATGTATGCTGTGTAGAAAAGTATTCGAATGTGTGTATTCTGTTAGCTCATGCTAGATAAACAGCTATGTCATGTAAAACCCTAATCCTGCTATCAAGGAAGTTAGAATTCTTACAACATATTTTGGGATCTCAGACGTACTTGTTGACTTGGCCAATAGGTCACACTCAGCCACGTTTTTAGGCTGGGTCATTTCACTATAGACTCCAATGAACTGCTATTCGAACGTTTCACCTGTCGGAGTAGTTGGACGTTTCCCTGAGTTGAGGAAATGCAAAGGTCTACATTATGTCCAAATTAGTTCTGCCAGCACAGATAAGTTTGCTGAACCAACCAGTCGGGGACTGTTTAGTGTTCTAAATTAGAAGGGGAGGCCTTGGGATGTTTTCCTCTTTGTAAAATTCTATGCACTGAAATCACTGCCCAAAGTTTTGAGACGGAAAATACCATAGATACGGTGAAAGTACACTTCGCTGTAGGCGCCTGTCATTGAAAGTCCTCGTCTTTCACCCGTCCTTGGGTTAGAAAGGAAACAAGTCGAATAACCACACTCAGGTGATTGGTTCACTTACTTCTTAGAGTTCCAGAGCTCAACATTTAACGTTCACATCACCCTGTTTTGAAGAGACCTATTCTGGTACAATTATTCTGGTTAGTCCACACTTAAGGGGAGAAGCACTGGACCCGGATCTCGCTTCTATTTGAGGTCAGAAGCAGTGTATATACTTGATTGTGCCAGGGTTCGAACTCCAGACATCTGGCGTGTGAGGCAAGCTTATTACTCCAGTAGTGCACTAGTAACACAGCTGCACTGTCACGTCTCAACAGGTGAACGTGCTCATACTTGGAGATCTGATTGGTTTGTCTCGCGTCTCCAACAGGGACTCAGCAACTGAACTGGTCCTGTTGATCGACTGACCCGCCCGTCAAGACTTTCTAGTCAGGCAGCGCCATGAACGCTTGAACTTTAGTTGCCAAATGCTGCTGCCATTGGATGGCTCTCTTTCGGCATGGATGTACATCAGTGGTGGCAGAACAGCGTTGGATTAAAGACCACATTTCGTTTTTCGTTAAGTTCGGTTTTTCTATACTGCACTTTACAAGCGTGGGATGAGCTTTAGGAATTCTGTCCAATGAGCTGAAATGCGCCTTTCGATTTAACACAATTTACATTGTATAACGGCAGATCGATCGCCATAGTTGTTTTGATTATGCCTTAGCAACACGATTACTTCAGAAATTCGACACCTAGTGGAAAGCCTATGGCCGCAGTGAAACATCCGTTAGTATACCTGATATGCATTCTGTTAGATCCTAGTTAACAGATGACAGCTGTCAAAACCTTTATGTTTTATGTGTAGTTGGATACCTAAACTCTCCATTAACCTTTTATCTTTGAAGATGGCATGGAGGGCTGAAATCCAGTATGCGTCACGATGGTGATCTTGGCAATGTGAAAACCGATGCTCAGGGTGTCATGAACGTCGATTTGATTATTTTACCTGATGAAGATGACCCAACGCGGGGATATATTGGCCTGGCGCTTGTCATCAACGACGGTGAGGATGACCTCGGACTTGGTGGAAATGAACGTAGTCGGATCGATGGCAATTCTGGAGGAAATCTGGCTTGCAGCGTGATTGGTCGCAGACAATCATTGTGGATTCATCAGAACCCCACTCAACAAATAACAACTCAAGCCGCTGGGAAAAGTAGCTCAGATTTGCTCACACTTTGAAGTTGCATGTGATCTCACATTCTACTCGACTTGTAAAATGGAAACTACTATTCTTGTTTCTGTCCACATTCCTGCGGATTCATTTATTCCAAACCATTTTCTGCTCTGCCCATGACGTATGCTCTTCAACAAAACTGCATAAACAACCAAAAACGAATTGTCCATGAAATTACTTATCCTAAAAATATCACGCCAATAAAAGCAAAAGTATTCTTCGCCTTAGATGAGATATTCTTTTTCACACTTGGCAAGCTGGCATCCCGCATAATCGTTGGTAACTTTAGGCTGGGTTCCCAACATTGAGCATGAGCATTTTTCCTTCAGAGTATTTCTTGCGGGAGTTCAATGGATGAATACTGTATACTCAAAAATACCACGTTCACAAGCATGTGATAACTATTGGACCACGCATGGTGTTTTTTCTGATATCCACGATGTGTTAGCATTTTGCTTGGTGTTTTGGAACAACATGGGTGGTGTATCACATTCTCTAGTAGATCAAGATTACTGACCATGGGACAACTTCACTTATTGTTCTAAACGGTCCTGAGCTTGCAGCTGAGTACAGGATTACCTGACAACTTCTTTTCCAACTGGTTTATATCGCTTAAAAAGTCACTGTGGTCTTCTTTTGTTATTCCACCCCAGTGATAATCAAATTTACAGAGATTCTTTGGGAGGTTTTGAAAAATTCAGGCAACTCCGAATTTCCTCAGGCCATTAACAATTTGGAAATCACTCAGAAGGGACCATACTTTTCACGGCTAAAGAGCTCTAGTCTGACAAGTTGCTACTCTAGCAGCCAGTCAACACATGACTACGCGATGCAAATTCTGTGACTGAAGAATGAGTAGCACCAGATCATGTTTAAATGAGAGTTGGTCATATAAATGATGGTGCCATTTTGACCGAAAGATGTAATCTTCAGCTACTAGCCAGAAGGTTGCAGCTTCGAAGCTCCTTCGGGTTTTCTGTGGTGCGCAATGCAAGTAGTTCACAAAATAAAAAACAGCTGCATAGTGCTCCTCGGCTTTCCAGGTGTAGGTTGGTTTCACTTACAGGACAAAATGTTCAATCAGGATTTGACTACAGTTGGATAAACAGATCCTTCTATCCTGTACTAGTCCTGTGATAAATCGGAGAAGTGACTATTCATAGTGGTTTGATCATATAATGTATTCTACAGGTGATGAAATTAAGATCAGCCGGGTATCACACGCGCTAATTACTCAGACATATCTGTCTTTTATTTTTCCTTACGTGCCACACAAAAACAGAGAGCTGAGATTAAACAATTAGTATGTTTTTTCGAAGACAGAAAATGGTAACGAGAAAAAAGCACATTCAAATCCGTCAGCGAGCAGTTCAACCCAAAAATCGATAAAAGATATGCAATAAAACATTTTCTCTTGAATCTGCAGTCAGGATGACACTATCGACTGTGTTTTGTAACTCAAGATTAGGGAAACGTTTTCTTGGGTTTTCAATGATTTCTTCAGGTGTTGGCTCCAAGTCAAAGCGCAACAGCGTGCGAGAAAATAAAGGAAACAAATAAACCACCGGATAACAACTTAAACCCCATTTAATGCTTTCGGGATAAACTTTCGCACCTGGTGTTTGAATAAATAGGGGTCTGCTGAACATTAATCGTCATCTCGTGGATAATGTCCATTCCAAGTGGTAAAGTGGTTGTTGCAAGACCGTCGTTAGTTCCCCTGGTGAAAAACTGACAGATTACCTTTCTAGGGTTTGGTTTATTTTGTCAGTCAGCGTTTCACTGCGCAGAAAAATTTAGCAAACGGTGACACGGTTTCGTCAAGCTAAACGCAATTTTTTACAGCGACGGAACAAAGCATTCCAGCCGGTCATTGTGGAAGCTCTAACCCTGTGGAATGCGACATGACAGACAAACACTGCATACCAGTCGTTGCTCACGGTGTCCCAAGACGTCAGCCTTGAACGTCATGATATTCTGTGCTCAGCCAAAGGGATTAGCCCTCATAAGCGACCAACGGGTAATTCCCTAACTTATGGAGAGTTTGCAAAACATCCTTATACATAAATCAGCAGAGCAAGCCCTCAGTACCATGAAAAGTTGCGCACCCCACTCGCTGAATTTCAAAATCATTCATACAGCGTCGTACTGCGATGTGTTCAACGTTGATATCCAAAATTATCAAATATGTATTCTCCCTGAAATAAACCAGTTGAGGAGCGCCTGCAGAGATCTCTTGCATGTCTACTTGTTTTGAAAAAACGTGTCTGTCACCAGCCATGGTGTGATACGTACAAATCTCACACGTTAATAAAACTTGTTTTAAAAAACGTAGTTTCTGGCCTGTAGTGATGACATTTTTATCATTGCCAGTGACCGCTGATTTTCTAGAAGTACCATCCAGCATCAATTTAGACGATAAAAGAAAAGTACAATTCATGTGGGAGAAAGTAGAATAGAGCTAATGTAGAAGTAACATTCAGAAACAGATATGTCTTACATTTTACCATCAAATGTCACAAACGTCTGACTTTTCTATGTCCATGTGATATCCTGTGCTCTGTTTTCTCTACCCTGTGAAACCCTTCCCCACGAGGCAACACCAATACATGAAATCACCATGTAAAATCTTTCGACCACACCCGTTTTATATGACTACCGGGCTTAATAACTCAGCAGCAACATTTGAGCCGGGATTGAGGTGTTTGTGCCCAAAACACCCCACCTTTTCGCGTTTGACTTGTCCATTTCCACCCAACTGTCCATCAGGAGAGTTCACGAAGTTACATGTTGATGCAGTCACATCACACCCACTGTCCGTCAGAATTTAACTATGGCCCCAAGTGAGGTTGGAAGAAATCTATCATCATGTATCAACTGTGGCTATCTTCGTTACATCCCAGTCAAATTAAAACCATTACTAAAGGGTCACACGCAGCAGCATATATTGATTGATTAGCTTTCAAAATATTCTCCTGAAGGCTGTCCACAAGCGATTATTCACATTTTGAATATTTTTTATCGAGTTGATATTCAGGCTCGAATAGAAACACGGGATTAAGACTTACAAGAATTTTCATTGCGTGTCTCTACTTTGACCATTTTTAGATCAGAATCAACACCATCGCTTCCGGTGCGTTGCGAATGAAACTGTGCGGTTGGCTAGCTTTAAATGAATTAATGATCACAAAGGACGAATCTTCGTGGATGTCAGACAAACGAAATGTAGATCAGTCCAGTCTGGCGACTGCAATACAGATGTATTCGTTTTTATTGGTCTCGGGTATTTTCTGTGATTCGGATTTTGAGTTTATGAAGAGATGGAAGTCGCTACACCAATTGCCCAGCTCAGTAGAAACAGAGGCAATGGTTTTATTGTTCATTCTGTTATCCACATGCCAGATCAAGGTAACCCTTTAAGAACGCAGTCATATGCATTGGCGGAGGTGATCGCTTGAAGCTGGAGCAGGATTTTTGAAGAAATGTCTTGATTCCTGTGATTTTGTGTCAAAGCGAAGTAAATTAGATATCTTGATAGAGTTGAATAATTGCAGTGTCGTTTCCACGTATTTTTCCATCTAGCCTGGTCCTTTTAACATTGTTTCGGAAGAAAGCGACAAACAAATAATTTTTAGTTAGGTAGTTGCCATCAGCATTGCATTCCTTTATGAAGACATCCCTTGACGTGAATCCATGCATATCACTCAATTTATTTGGAGATTGAAAAGCAGCCAAAGGAAGGCAAAAACCACCTCATACACATAATCGCGCATCGCTCTTCGACTGTTTAAACCACTATATCTCCATGGGATTACTTACTTTTCTATTTTTTTTCAAGCGAAACGGAAACCCAGTTGCTAAATGCAAATCACCGGATATCTAAAATTCCTATTTCTCAAACCAGGCACACTCTCAAGCGTGGACGGAGTAACGTAACGGCATACATAATCATCATACTGCATATAAACTTGAACAGACTCCTAACGAGTACATTGAGTCGCACTCCTGAAAATTCACATTTCAAGAAGGTTTAGCTTCACTGCTATGATGGTCAGTGCACCGCAAAAAGAGAAGCAAATGTCAACAAGACAGAATATAGTCGGCTTCCCCAAAGCCCATGTAGATCATGTTATTGGTTCATACTTGGACCCATCGTGCAGCTGGGCATTTTTGCCAAACTGCAACTTTTTCCAATCAAACTGGGCTGGAACCCCAAGTCTATGGATCCGTAATTAACGAGGCTTTTGTGCGGACTAGTGGGATGAGATGGGAAAGTGACATTTACAAACCGAACCACCCGCAGTGAAACTGGGTCAGAAAGCAACCAGTTAAGATACCTGATGATCAAGTGAAGCACACCAAATTTAAAGTTACTCTTGATGGGTATTTTGACTGGTTAAGGAGAAAAGAGGACTGTGCAGTTGCTGACGGTACACGCAGATATGTTGTGTATGAAAGAAGCACGTGGTCAACATTTTTTATCACTGACACAACCAATCTGTTTTCCAGCGAATCATCAAGAAAAAGAACAGCAATAGTTAATCAGGTCAACATTTTCTGATGACCTGGCGTGTCTTCTTTTCGACTAGTCCATGTTTACCTTCCCTGCTTTATACATGCCATCGTTGTTCATATGTGTGAGTAAACGCACTGGATCACAGGCTGCTAAAAAGAACTTTTGATTCTAATCATAGATCGAGCGTTTGACCAAACGCTGATGTCTATCATTTTTCGCAGGTTTTGGTCTTCAGCTGATTCGCTTCTCACAAGGTACCATCGTCTCTAAAAATATCGGGATGAAAAAGTGAGAATCGCCGGGATACGGTCAGAAAGGCAAGTGTGGTAATGTAACGCGGACAAAATCTAAAAAGAGCTACAACGGAGGCTCAATCGCGTAGCGTTGGTGTCCAACTTGGGGTAAAACATTCCGCTCAAATGAGGATAATCTACATCACCAGAAATCACACTCAGATTGGCGAGATTTTTTCTGCAGACTCTGTCCAAC